GAGACAAAGCTTTTTGAGTCAAAACCTAATAAAATGAATGCTGTCGTCAAAAACTTAATCAGTGTACAGTATGATGGGATTTTTTTATGCAGGTTTGTACAATACACTCTTAAAAGAAACGGTTCTATATAGAACCAAAAATGGTTCTATCAAGCGCTTCATATATGGAACCCCAAAAAGGTTCTAAATAGAACCATTTTAAGGGTTCATTAAATAGAACCCCAAATTGTTCTTTCACTCTTAAAATAAATGGTTCTACACAGCAAATTTTAGATAGTAGATTTAACTACCTTGGAGTTAAAATTAACACTCCCTCAGAGTTTATATGGGAACCACTATAAGTGTTAAAAACAACACTTTTGAAAGTGTTAACATTGTCAACACCAAGAGAGTGTTAATTAGCAAACTCTTGTTGTGTAAAATATCTGTTCAATTTCCGAAAAAATACCAGCAGCTGTGGCTGCCAGAATTTTTTTGTGAAAAACATGGAAGTTTTATATAACCGTATAAATTTACAAAAAATAACCATATTTCATGAACTAATACATTGTTCATTTTACAAAATCATAGCTTAGTGCAAAAAAATGTAAAGTCTTTAGATGCAATAATGTTTTCATGTGTGATGACAAGTAGCAAACAGATTTTGACGGCATTGGTAACTACACAGTTACCTTTAAACAAAAGAAGATGCAGCATAACATCAAATTTTCTTAGTTCATCTTGGACTTGAACAGAGACGCTATTATCCTCCACAATGGTGACACAAAAACCGTTTTGCTGTTTTTCTTTCTTTTTTTTCATTTTTAGATTTTACGGAAAAATACCAGCAGCTGTGGTTGCCAGTAATCTGCTGTTTTTCACATTCATAAATTCAGTTTACAGAATATTTCTGTTAAAAGCACATTCAACAGTCTGTATTTTTTATCGATCTCACACTGCAAATTTTAGATTTGGTAGATTTAACTACCTTAGAGTTAAAATTAACACTCCCTCAGTGTTTATATGGGAACCACTATAAGTGTTAAAATAACATTTTTGAAAGTGTTAAAATTTTTAACACCCAGAGTGTTAATTAGCAAACTCTTATTGTGTAAAATATCTGTTAAATGTATGTCAAAATACTAGCAGCAGTGGTTGCCAGTAATCTGCTGTTTTCAACATTTTAGATTCGTAAATTCAGTTTCCAGAATATTTCTGTTAAAAACAAATCCCATTGTCTGTATTTTTCATTCGAACACACGTAAGCCTTAAATTCCAGAGCAAAATCCTCACTAGTGTCCTCACTACAGAGGGCTGAACACTCAGACAGTGATGAAGTTAATGAGACAATAAAGTGTCTAATTAAAGGAGGATTGAGAATTATTGATGAACAACTGTTAACAAGCAGAATCACTGAAGGACAGAAAAACACAAGCCAAAACCAAAGATGAAATCAACTGAGAAAAAAAAACTCTAAATAAAATAATAATCAATAAAAATAAAACAAACTACACAATAAAAAATGTTATTTTTCAACATCTTTAAAAAAAAACTCATCAAATTAAACAACTTATCATGGAGCTTCACCTATTACTGATCTTTGACTTGATTTCTGTCATGTGAACAAAATCTCTTAATGAAATTTCTGTTGTTCATTTGAAGTCACCATGATGGAGGACAGAGTCTGCTTTAGTCAGGCTCTTCAACTTCTTACTATAAATGTCTTTTATTTTGGCTGCGATAGATAGTGTTAATTACACTATTTAAACATATAGCATGGAAAGCCGAAAGAAAATTAAAGTGTCAGTCTGAAGAGATTATTAATGATAACATAATCTTCCTTTCCTGCTTGTTATTTAATTCAGTATCATATTAGTTATGTGTGAGAAATAAATAATATACATAAATGAAACCACTGAAACTACAATAAAATAAAAACAATATTTACAATGAGAATGGTTGATCTATGGCAAAACTTATAAACACACAGACATCAATAATTAGTCTTTGAATCTCAATGATGGTGACAAACAAAAAATAAAAATCAAGTAAAAAAAACTACTGAAATATCACCTCCCAAAAACAACACAAAATAAAGGAAAAGAAAGAGATTGTAAGAACATAAAGCTGCATAATTTATTCATGCTGCAATGCATGCTGGGAGCTTTGTACTATGCTGGCACCCAGCATGCATTGCGGCATGAACTATGCAGCTTTTTTTTTTTTTTTTAAGCAACCACGGTTGAGGTTCATGTCCTGATTCTTGATGCCTGTGTGTCATAAAGAGCAAGCTGGAGCTTGAATGTTTAGTGCATGACACTCTAATTATTAATTGCATCCTAATTGTTGAATTTTCTATGAAGAGCAGCAGACTGCCAGTAGTATTGTCCCATGCAGCGTTAATACAACTATATTTGCATATTTTTAGGAATCAACTTAACAAACACCTGAAATAAAATCTATAACAATTAACCATAAACAGTTTAGTTTCTCTTGACCTTTCTTGCTATAGCTAATGAGTTTTAGAAACATTAGGATATAAGAGTAAAGCTTCAAGAGCTCAAATGAGCAGCCTCTGATCTCTATGATGGTGAGGTCAAATGAAATATTTTTAATAAAAAAAATATAACCTCTGTTCATTGTCAAATATTCTTACAGAAATGAAGTCAAACTGTAATCAGTGAAGCTGCTTATGCTATTATTTAATGGAGTTGTTTAATCCTCTGTTTTAATTCAGTTGGTTTGGTGTGAGGCTGTGTCTGTAGATTTCTTTCTTTCTTCAGTTTCTTATTCCTTCAGTGATTGTGCTTGTTAACAGCAGGTGTTCAACAGCAGGTGTCTGAATTCACTTATTTGTGGTCATTCACTCTGTCTAGTGGACTAAACTAATTGACTAATTTAAGGGCCAGGTGAATGAGGGTGTGGCGAGATTTCAGACACTCTGATTAGTTTCTCAAATACAAGGGTTTTCTACAAAGGTAGATACATGTTACTCTGTATGACAAGGAGGCAAATCAGCTTCTAACGCTGAGAGGGTTGTTTTACCTTTATCTAACTCTAGAATTTTAACACTTTACTCTGAATTACCAGAACACTTGAAATTTAACAACAATGAATTTGCTGTGTATACAGAACCAAAAATGGTTCTTTCAAGCGCTTCATATATGGAACCCCAAAAGATTAAAAATAGAACCATTTAAGGGTTCATTATATAGATCCCCAAATGGTTCTTTGAATTCAAGTTACATGGTTCTATTTAGAACCATTTGAGGGTTCTTTATTTATTATTGAATAAAAAATAAAACCAATGCAGAAAATTAAAATTGTTTAAATTTATTCAATTTACTTCACAAAATAAGTTTTAAATAATATTTAAAATTGCACCTCTGCGTACTTTGTATAAGATCTACCTCTAAACATTATACATTTTTACTATTTAATTAGTAAACATAATTAACAGCTTAATGGCATTCAACAATCTAATTCTAATGATTTCACTTTTTATTAAACATTTGTAAGCTTGCTTACTGATTGAACAAATACAAAACTTAACTTTCAAACATTTCTAAAATGATTAAAAATGTATTACAATGCAGATAGAAACAATACACAAACATCTATTAAATAACACTACAATTTCAACAAGTTCACGGTACATGTATGTACTGGTCATGGCAACATCCATTTTTATACATAATTTTCAATAAAAGTTATTGAACAAAGAGCTTAATCGCACACAAAACTTTGCAAAATGATTAGACAAAACATTGAGAACAGCCATTCCACAACCTGTAGCATGTCCATGTTTGCCGGCCTCTCTTATAACGTAAATAGTTTTGTCCATGGGTGGCACAGTGGCTCACTGGTTAGAACTGTCACATCACAGCAAGAAGGTCACTGGTTCGAGTCCTGACTGAGTCAGTTGGTGTTTCTGTGTGAAGTTTGCAAGTTCTCCCAGTGTTTGTGTGGGTTTCCTCTGGGTGCTCCAGTTGCCCCCACAGTCCAAAGGCATGCGTACAGTATTGGTGAATTGGCCATAGTAAGTGAATGTGTGCAGGTGTATGAGAGAGTGTATGGGTGTTTCCCAGTGCTGGGTTGCGGCTGGAAAGTGAAGAGTAATTGCTAATTCATTCTACTGTGGTGCCTCTGATAAATGAGGGAGCAGAAGGATAGTGAGTGAGTGTTGGCCATCACTCGACACTTCAAGCCTTGACGGAATCAGGAGAGCTGTTAGGATCTTTGGATTTCTGTAAAACAATATTTCAATGCTGAGTACTTCCTTCTTTCCTTCCCTTCAATTGGGCCATTTCTTTTAAAGATGTTTCTGTGTCCTTATATGCAGCATCCTAAATTAAAACATTTTGTTTACTTTGTGTAAGTGACACATTTTCAGCAATACAAGTACTTTAAAGTCATCAAAAATACAGAAATACAGTGTAGACAGCTGTAATATATTTTCTGTTTAATCTGCATCTCATTTGTTACAGAATTTAATGAAATTGACATTTCTGAGTGACCTCAATTGAGTATGAACATTAAATAAAACAATAAAATTAGAATAAGAACAAAACAAAATAATTGTTTATCAAATAATATACATCATATTTGGCAGATACTTTTATCCAAAGGGACGTAGATTGTGTTTATTCTATACATTTATTAATATGTGAGACCTGGAACACATTTGGCATTGCTAATGCATTGCTTTACCAAATGAGCTTTAAAATGTCATATACACAGATTTTTCATATCTATTTGGCACACAATGTAACATTGTTTGGTTACTTACAAGCTGTGGCACTCCAAGAAGAAGAAACTTCTCCATTAGTTTTGCAGACCCCTTCATAATCTGTACTCTGGAAAATAGTGTGTTTCATTTGGTTCTTGACTTATTCGTAAACGGTGTCGCATTCTAGGTCCATCACAATCTGAGGTAGGAAGACAGCATTTGTAGAATGTGTAAATATGAATTTAAATCACAGAATTAATCTTGACATTAAATGTATTGAAATGAACTTGCCTTGTGTTAAGTCCCTCAGAGTCCAGTTCACTTCCTTTTGATCCCATCATTATGAGCTCACCACTGAAATCCTTTCATTTTTACATTTGTTTTGAAGACATTGCAACAAGGAATCCTGTAGGCAAATTTACACCTTTCAATACATATTTCTTCTCTGCAGGACTTTTTTTAAGCAACGACCTTAATATTCTCACTGTATTAAAACAGCAGTAGTAAGTAATAGAATATTTTTTGATAAATATATTTTTTCAGTACACAACAACCAACAAGTGTGAATTATGCATGTTATAAAATACAATACTTTACCAGGTGTGCTTGAAGATGATGTCAAACAATTATGGATGTGACACATGTTTTTCTTTAAGCTGGGATCCTTCTTCTTCAAAGCTACTTGTGTGCAGCAGATCAAATTTGGAAACTTAATATGGGTCCCATGACACTTTTCTGTAATGATAAATACAATCTTGAAGTCTTTTATAATATTTATTTCATTTTACTGACCACAATACAGTTTGTTTGGATTTTTAAACAATGATACATACCAAGCACAAGTTTTATGAAGCAGTTCAGTTTCCAGGCTGTTTGAAGAAAAATAAAATTTACATTAAAATATTTATTTTAAACTTATTTTGCACTATATATATATATATATATATATATATATATATATATATATATATATATATATAATTTCACAATACATTTAGTCTGCATTTTTGTGTCTTTTACAAATAAGACCTGATCTTTCGTCTATGGATTGTTAAAATATGTTTGGCTTTTTAAAGGTTTCAATAATATTCAGGGGCGGACTGGCCATAGGGAGAACCTGCCACCGTGACTGGCTTTCCGTGCGTGCACAGACTCGGGCACGAATTTGCCTGTGCGGGCACGAGCGGTGCACTGCTTTCTTGCGGTTTTATGCAGACTAGCCGGAACGACTCAAAAGCAGGCAGTAATGTCCACTACTTTGCAGAGTTTAGCTCAATCACTGATAAAACACACACTAACCAAGCTAAAAGTGAGCGTTTGTACAAGGTTGGAGCTAAAAACAACACGAAAAACACGATGAAATCGGCTCATATCCAGTTACTTTTAAAATAACGTGCACATGCTTTATTCACGCTCTCTCGAAGCTCGCCTTCAAATAACACAGCTGTGTACTGTTATCGGTAATTTAATCAGTAGTACTGACAAACAAGTATAGCGATATTGTAACTTATTTCGAATAAAAAGCAGAACAAATTCCACTTAACAGATTTCTGAACCGAAGGGTGACGACCTAGGTCATCACAAGCACAGTGTTATTAATGCACATATTAATGCTAAAGTTACCCCCATTCAGTCTGTATCACCATATAACACGAGGGATTTTCTATCAAATAGAAACCTTACTTCATAATACAAAATATTTCACTATATTTATTAAATGTACTAACATACCTGAATGATGAAGCTGAAATAGTGGACTTCTCCTTTCGAAAAATTAACCTTCACTCTCGAGGCTCTTCACCACCGGTCCATGACGATGTCCTTGTCAATGACTGACGTCACCAGAGAGCTTTTTTATGATTATTAGTTTCAAATAAATTATTAAACCATAACAACATGTTACTGCACAGTCTAAATAAATTGGTTATTTTATTTATTTCACAAAATAATTTGTCAAAAATGTTAAACATTGAGTATATATAAACTAGGCCTATAAGTTATATGCTATTGTACAAACCTGCATAAAAAAATCCCATCATAATGTACACTGATTAAGTTTTTGACCACAGCATTCATTTTATTAGGTTTTTACTCAAAAAGATTTGTCTCTCTGTGTTATAGCTTATAATTTTTTTATAATCTTTACTACATAATTATGTTATGATTAAAAAAATTATAGAACCATTTTAATCAAAAAGGTTTGTTGCAGTCATAGGGTTCTAAATGTAACCGTTTTTTTGGGTAAAAGGTTTTACTGGCCAAGTATAGAACCCCAAGGTTCTATATAGAACCTCAAGGAACCTTTTTTTAAAGAGTGTATTAACACATGTAAATCCTTACAGAACTGACAAACTGTATAAACAGTAAACTTTGTAACAGTTTTAGCATATATAGAGCTGAACTATGGAAAAATATACAGTCAGTGTTCTCAGTCATTTACCTTCTGTGTTCCAGTTTTCTGTCCTGCACAGCTGAGTGAAATATTGGTCTGGATTTCAGTGTCAGAGGTCACCTGTTTAGATGAACAACACAATATAAACACACGTAAATCCTTGCAGAATATGGTATTTTTTAAAGATTTAAGTTTATTTTGGCTTAATCATATATAACCAAATAATTTTTAAGAAAACAACTTTAATCTCTGCATACCTTGTTCCTCCATGGCCATTCTGAAACATCATAGTTATAAGTGATCTCTTGTCCTAGACTGATGTCCTTTGTTGTGAATAAGCACAAATGGGGTTTTCTATCAACATTGATTATTTTCATTTTGCTGTTTGGGTTTATATGATTGTCATTAATAAGTCTACCCAACGAGCCATATTCTCTTGCAGCATCAACCCTGAATCATAGAAAACAATGCCACATCATGTAATTACAGTATTTACTAAATTACACAGTAAGTAATTGCAGATCAAAAAAATTATCAAGTTTTGGAAAAGACAAGTTCCTTTATATATATATATATATATATATATATATATATATATATATATATATATATATATATATATATATATATATATATATGGAAAATACAGAAACATAAATGTTAGCAAATTTAATAAAGCAATATACATACCATAACTGTCTTCAATTAAAAAGGATTTGAAACAAAAAACACTTCAAGTGCATTATGATAAAGTCTGTGTCTTCTTTCACATTCTTCTTTGGTTATTATGTCTCCTCTATATTCAACTAGAAAATCTCCTTTTCTATAGTGGCTAGAGCTGAATACTCCCCGACCTAGCAAATGATTTTTCAGATTAGTCATGAAAAAGAACAATTCTTGGAGATCGCTGACGTAAACAGACTTTTTTTTTCTTACCTTTGAATAAGCTTATGTATTTTATTTCAAATCCAGTTTTATCTTTTGAAGTCGAAGCATAGTACACTGCTTCATCCTTTGGTTTCAGTTTGAGTCTCTGGGACCTTGCTGTCACCATTTGTCAATGCACCAATGTCACTGTACATCAATGCATTTTTGTAATGTTTTTTTTATCATATTTAGTTTATTTTTTTCAAAGGGTACACATGTTAAAGATTGTGCTTGGTCTGTAATATGCATGTCAGTACACATGTAAGTTACTTAAAATTATTTGTTTGCTTTTTCTTTGTCAGTGAAATGTCTAGATATGGCAAATACACACAGACTACATATTTAATTGGATGAAACATCTGTATACACGTTACCTTTACAGAAATATTCATATGTGCAAAATACAAATGTGAAATGTGTGCTTCTGGAACACTTTTGTGTGAATCCCATGTTAATTCAGGCCAAAACCACCAAAGGTGTTTTGGAACCACATTTCACATTTAGATTTACCATATGTGAATGTCTTGTGACCATTTTGTAAGTGTAAGCAACATTATTCATAAATAGAATTAAAATGAGGACTAAATAAAACGATTAAACTACTTCATCAGCACGTGCTATGAAAAATACAGTTAACATACAGTTATGAAAACATATTCGTCTTGTATCTTGGGTGCAGTAAAAACTTCTAATAACAAGTTAGACCATAACGTGTAACTTATCATTACATAACGTTAGTGATATCAATCTGTCAATAACGTTATGACTTGATTAGCAAATACTCATCTTACTAAATTAATAAGCACACTATAAACGATTACATGCAACGCATCTGTTACTTTGGTAAAGCATGACGACATTGCAAACATAAATGTAATGCTAAAACAATAAATCATTTTAAAAATGATAGTTCATCATTCTTGACAGGAAATGAAAAGTACGCTAACTTACAAGGTTTTATTAACGGTTACTTGGTTTACTCGCTGTTAAGTTTAGTCAAATAATGCACATTAATCGTGTAACGTTAGTACACTTAATTATCTGGGTGGTTATTTAACAATCTTACCTTAAGGGTCTTGAAACTGATGATTGACACCCATGTGTCATCGGATCTTCCAACATTAAATCGCTTGAGTTCAGTGGCTATAAATTTCCATAAATTAATTCACATTTAATCAATCGTATGCAATCAATCGTCGAATAAACAAGCTCCGTGCTTCTTTGTCCTGTCTTCAAACGATGAGTGATATCCATCTGTCCAGCGCAGAATTGATTGAGTCAGGTGGTGGCGATTGGCCAATAACAGGCATTTATATCCTTATTGATCTTATAAAGGTAGTGGGTGATTTTTATTATTTAATTAGAACGTAATTCATATTTATACATATTTTAAACTATTTTTTAATCATTATTGTTTACAAAGATGTTTGACATACAGTTATTATGAGGACGTTTGGTGGTCAGCCAATCACATGCCGCGATTTCATATACTCGCATACATAATTAATGAGGGGATGCAGTACCCAGTCCGGGCTACAAGGGCGCATGTCGAATACACACGTAATACACATAATCAGGTTTATGTGAACTATAAAGTCATGTGGAGAAATTTTGAATTTGAGCTCTTCTACATTAAAGAAGCACTTCTACATTGCTAAAATTATGAGGACTCCGACCATGTCCTCATAATTGAAAATGTTCTCATAATGTGGCGTGTATTCATATGAATTGTCTTCGTAAATCACATAAACCAACACACACACACACACACACACACACACACACACACACACACACACACACACACACACACAGCCCAAATACTCAAAAGAAATATGCAACATCAAAATACCACAATCAGAATACCACAATAATGCTAAACATTACTTTTAAAACTTTTTAGTACGTTTTTATGCATATATGCTACTTTAAGAGCAAGAAATGAAATACTTATCATCCGGTTACATCCTTACAATCGATGGCATTAACAACAACACGGCATATATGATGGTATTTACAAACAACAAAATGATACAAAAACAATCACGGTAAATATTACCATGTTCATCCGCTGTTGCCGTTGCAGTTGTCGTTGTATACGTCGTTCTCATTGCTCGGCTGCTCTTTTGCGCCTTGCAGCCAAAATCTGTGTTCGAAGTAAATGCCGCCGAACTCGAATGTCCTTTTCCAGGGATCGCTGTCTGGCCTTACACCAACAGACCACAAACAGTAAAAAAGCAATCGCTTCGGTGTTCTCCATCTTCCAGCTCTTGTAGTGATGCCAGGTTGTGTTTGTGGTTATAATTTGAGTTTTTTGTTCCCGCTGAAGTGGGCGGGTTGTGTGATGGGTTGTGTGACGTTTGATTCGGGGGACGTTCTGGGGGCGGTGTTTGCGTGACGCGCTGCGAGCAACTAGCCCGACAGTGGAAACGCGACGGCCTCATTTCTCAACCTCCCGGGCTATTGGCCCAGCCTGGCCGGATTAAAGCCCTGGCTCGCACTGGCCCGATAGTGGAAATGCGGCTATTCTGTCCAGCGTTACAAGATGAAATCAGGATTTAGCAGAAGATTGTCACAGGTAGTGAAGGTATTACTGTAAACAGTGTCTAACTCTTGACAGGGCTCGTCATCAGCTCGGCTAGCTCAGTTGGTAGAGCATGAGACTCTTGATCTCAGGGTCATGGGTTCAAGCCCCATGTTGGACGTTTCTGTTGCCTCTCTCTCTCTCAGCAAACTTTCATTAGGGTTCATATAGCAGACCTTTTGAAACAAAGTTCCGCCTTTCTACCACTGTAGGTGGTCTCTTGCTAAGTCTCTGTGGCGCGATCGGTTTGTGCGTTTGGCTGTTAACTAAAAGGTTGGTGGTTCAAGCCCACCCAGTGACGAATTAAGCATTTTGCTGCCTTGCAACTGCTAACACGTGCACTAGGCATATATCCTGTGTCACATTCTGTCCAGCGTTACAAGATGATATCAGGATTTAGCAGAATATTGTCATGGGTAGGGAAGGTATTACTGTAAACAGTGTCTAGCTCTTGAAAGGGCTCCTCATCAGCCCGGCTAGCTCAGTCAGTAGAGCATGAGACTCTTAAACTCAGGGTCGAGAATTCGAGTCCTACGTTGGGTATTTCTGTTACTTTTCTCTCTCTCTCAGCAAACTTTCATTAGGGTCCATATAGCAGACCTTTTGAGACAAAGTTCCGCCTTTCTACCACTGTAGGTGATCGTAGACTAAGTATCTGTGAAGCAATAGGTTAGCGCCTTCGGCTGTTAACTGAAAGATTGGTGGTTCAAGCTCACCCAGGGACAAATTAGGTGTTTTGCTGCCTTGCAACTGCTAACACATGCACTGGGCATATGTCCTGGGCCACATTCTGTCCAGCGTTACAAGAAGAAATCAGATTTAGCAGAAAATTGTCACGGGTGAGGAAGTTATTACTGTAAACGGTGTCTACCTCCTGAAAGCATGTCTCATCAACCTAGCTAGCTCAGTCGGTAGAGCATGAGACTCTTAATCACAGGGTCGTGGGTTCGAGCCCAATGTTTGGCGTTTCTGTTACTTTTCTCTCTCAGCAAACTTACATTAGGGTTCATATAGCAGACTTTTTGAGACAAAGTTCCGCCTTTCTACGACTGTAGGTGACCTTTCCCTAAGTCTCTGTGGCGCAACTGGTTAGCGCGTTCGGCTGTTAACTAAAAGGTTGGTGGTTCAAGCCCACCCAGGGATGAATTAGTCCAGTGTTACAAGATGAAATCAGGATTTAGCAGAAGATTGTCACGGGTAGGGAAGGTATAACTGTAAGCGGTGTCTAACTCTTCAAATGGCTCCTCATCAGCTCAGTCGGTAGAGCATGAGACTCTTCAACTCAGGGTTGAGAATTTGAGCCCCACGTTGGGGGTTCATGTTACTTTTCTCAGGGTTGTGGGCTAGATCCCCACGTTGGGCATTTCTGTTGCCTCTCTCTCTCTCAGCAAACTTTCATTAGGGTTCATATAGCAGACCTTTTGAAACAAAGTTCCGCCCTTCTACCACTGTAGGTGACGCCATATTAAGTCTCTGTGGCGCAATAGGTTAGCGCGTTCGGCTGTTAACTGAAAGCTTGGTGATTCAAGCCCACCCAGGGACAAATTTGGCGTTTTGCTGCCTTGCAACTGCAAACAGGTGCACTTGGCATATATCCTGGGCCACATGCTCTCCAGCTTTACAAGATGAAATCAGGATTTAGCAGAAGATTTTCACGGGTAGGGAAGGTATTACTGAAAACTGTGTCTAGCTCTTGACAGAGTTTCTTATCAGCCCGGCTAGCTCAGACGGGAGAGCATGAGACTCTTAATCTCAGGGTCGTGGGTAAGAGCCCCACGTTGGGCGTTTCTCTTACTTTTCTCTCTCTCTCTCAGCAAACTTACATTAGGGTTCATATAGCAGACCTTTTGAGACAAAGTTTCGCCTTTCTACCACTGTAGGTGACTTTTCATTAAGTCTCTGTGACGCAATAGTTTAGCGCATTCGGCTGTTAACTGAAAGGTTGGTTGTTCAAGCCCACCCAGGGACGAATTCTGCATTTTGCTGCCTTGCAACTGCTAACACGTGCACTGGGCATATATCCTGGGCCACATTCTGTCCAGCGT